GAGGATTGGGTTGCACAGTCTGCTATGCTTACCCCAACCCCAGTGATTTTGGTGGTCACCATTTCCTCAAACTTCGCTAGTAGCTGGTCATACTTCTGAGATAATAGGAGCACGCTTTTTATCAGTGGGATCGATGTGCATTCCACACAGAACCATAGCGAGTCTGGTTTGTTTAATAACTTGGCCTGACTAGGTTGAACTCTGAGGCATCTCGCATGGAAGAACTTGCAACAGTTACGGCACAAAATGCCCCCCTTAACAAGTTTGGAACATGATCCACATAGGTCTTTAGTCTGTGGCACGCCGGGCATCACGCTTGTTGAGCAAATGTTACGAACCATTTGATTGACTCACCTTCTATGGTAAAAGGTCGTTCTGTTATTGACGTTGTCGGTAAGGTCACAGTGGTCACGTTGCAGTTGTGTACTTTTATACTGTCCTCTCTGGCGTGCCAGTTGAATGTGACGGCTTGAACGTGGGGCAGAATACACGAAGGTGTGATTGAGAATTTTCGTGGTTTAGCCTATGGATCGCGCCGGGTGAATTTGCTTTGAGACCTGTAGCTGCACCGAGCAATGTTGGATTTGAACGAGTGACAGTTCGTTCGAAAGCCGTTGAAATGGTCTATCGAGTGAGACCAAACAATGTCTCCGATGATTGGAGTTAGACAACTTTTGCCGCTTGGATATCTACGAAACACGGCCCGGAAGTTAGAAATCAGGGTAAATGTAGGATGCACTGGGGTATACTCGGGAAACTGGTATCACAAAGTAGAGCTTGTAAAAGCACGACGAATGAGTATGGATCCAAAGGTGTGCGACAAAATGTCGCTGAACCACAGTTAAAAAACCACGAGTGCACAAGTGAGCGATTAGCACGCAACTTCTCTCAAGGTCACTTTAAACGTTAGGTTCGAATAATAAAAATATTTAGCACGGGATTAAAATATTGGTGCATAGCAGATTTCGCTTAGTCTAGGCTTTGTTATTCATAATATATTATTTGCGGGTGGCTCGGTGTAAATTGTTAATGAGTTATCGAGACAAGCTAGTCTGGCGTCACGAATACTGCCGAAGGAACGTTATTTCCTAGTGGCGGATAGCCAGCTCCGTTGCGTTTCGTTTCCTTCTTAGGATCCATTCTGAATCTACTGAATACGGGATACAATGTCCACAAAATGCTTGGATTGTTGCAATGCTCTCACTTCTCGCTCGAAGGCCGTTCAGTGTTCCTTCTGCGAAGGGTGGCTTCACATTGCATGTTGTAACATCAGTCCAGATCTATACGATCCACTGCAAAGGACCATTTCCTCAGTCGTCATCTTTATTTGTGACTCTTGGCGGACTGGGCTGAGTGTCAGGCGTGTTTCGGATGGTCTACCTCCAATTAGTCCATGTCCTTCATGCCTCCATTCTGTGCAAAAGAAAAAGCATGAACCGCTGCTCCCTATTTTGCCTTCATCTGTTGCTGTCCTCGACACATCCCCTCCAAAGCAAACTCTTGTTTTTTCTACCTCATCCCCAGAACCATCGTCCACTTTCCGGCAGTTCAAAGAACGCAAGGAGAGGACTTATGCAGTGGTAGCGGGTAGCAGCGTAACTCCGGTACCCATGATCCCAGAGACTCCGCTAAATAATCTGAAGACGAAGAAGGCTGCAAAATCTAAGTCTAATTCAAACTCTTCTCAGCCACAATTAAAACATGTTATCGATAAAGTGAATCAATTGGAGAGTATGATCAAGGCAAAGCCTTACCTTGAAAAGCCGCACCAAAATGAAAAAAGCCGATTTCCCGAGAGGGAACGATGTCTGATCATCGTAAAAGCCCCTGAGTCTATTAAGGAATCCTCGGCTGAAAGGATATTGGAGGACCAAACGTTTCTGAGGCGGATGGTTTCGTTACTGTTCGATGCTGGGGAAAAGGGCATAAACTTCGTTTCCGCTTTTCGCCTCGGCAGGAAGCAGGATGACTCCTCGAAAGTTCGCCCCCTAAAGGTGGTCTGTCAAGATGAAGAGGAATGCCGCCGTATCCTCCAGCAAACCTCACGTTTGAAAGGAGAAACATTTTATATTTTGAGAGACCTCTCCCCAGAAGATCGAGTTAAAATGAAGCAGGCGGTTGATGAACTACGAATCCGACGAGCAGCTGGTGAAAGCGACCTTCACATTGTGGATTTTCGAGTAGTAAAAGAATCCCGAGGACTCGGTGGAGACCAATATTCGTTCTGCAGTTGAACTGAGAATCAGGGGTGGATTGCGTGTGATATCAGCGAACGTGCGTAGTTTGAGAAACAAATTGGATGAGATACTGCTCATGACTTCGGAGCAAGAACCCAATCTGATGGCTTTTACGGAGACTTGGCTATCCTCGGATATTTCTGACTCGGAGGTGTTTATTCCAGGGTATCAACTATCCCGTGCGGATCGTCTAGGAGGGAGATCCGGAGGCGGTGTTGCACTTTACTGGAAGTCAGACCTTAAAGTTCACACAGTGGAAGCCATGTGTGATCTCGATGGAGGATCAGAAATCCTTTGGAGTAGGGTTCACGATGGGTTTTGACCGCTCATAGTCGGCGTTATCTACAGATCCCCCTTGGGGTCAGGATCCCACCTGATAGACTCTATGAGGAAGCACGGGGGAGGCAAAGCTTGTTTGATTGTAGGTGACTTTAATGCTCCGGCCGTAGACTGGGATGCACTTTATTGTAATTTATCTCCAGATTCTTTTGGTACACGTTTATTAGAAATAGTCCTCGAATGCAATCTAACGCAACACGCTTTATCCCCTACCCGTTTTTTCCAGGCCATGTGCCACACATCCTTGACGTTGTGCTCATATCTGCCCATCAGATGTTTCCGCTCTAGCCGTTCTTCAGCCTCTTTGCAAACCTGATCACTGTGTAGTCTCTTTTTGTGGACACGACAGTTAGCAATCAATGTCCAAGGAGCGCACCGCCGAAACTTCTGGCGAGCTGACCCCCTCCGCTTAAAATTGGCTGCCAGCCTCATGGACTGGAACATCCCTCATCAGTTGGATCTCGATGCTGCTTGGGACCTTTTGTGTTCCAAGCTGATGTTTATCATTGATCGGGTTGTTCCAAGGGCCACAAAACGATTTTTCTCCCAAGGACCTCCATGGATAGATCGGGAAATGAAATGGCTCATGATGAGAAGGCGGAAAATTTGGGGCCGGTTCAAGTTCTCTCAGACGGCACAAGATTATGCGCATTACAAAGAGGCTAGAAATTTATGTACCCTGAGAAAGCGCGAGAAGCGAGAATTATATGAGCAGCACCTGGCCGAGCAATCTGAGGTTAATCCGAAAAAGCTTTTTGCATACTTAAAATGAAGAACCAAAGCTGGCAACGGTAGACCCGCACTATATTCAAGCAAAGAGGACACCAGGCTTCATGATGACATGGCAAAAGCTTGTCTACTAACTTCGCAATACTCTTCTGTGTATACGACTGAGGCGCCATTAGTTGTTGAGGACCCTTCCTATCGCCCCTCTCCATTAGAGCATGTTGAAATTACCGCTGCTAAAGTATTGGAACTGCTTCTTGACTTGAATTCGAATTCTTCACCGGGTCCCGATGGCTTGCATCCCGTGTTCCTCAAAGAGGTGGCGGAGTTCATTGCTGCACCAATTTGTCAATTATTTCGTAGCTCACGTGAAGCAGGTCGTCTCCCAACTAAATGGAAAGCAAATGTCGTGAAACCTATGTGGTTGGCGGCATCCGGTTTCGGATTTGCCTGTCACTGTGGCAAGCCACAGGACGCCTGCGCCTACAGAGGGACCATGGATGGCTTGCGCTGCATCACTCACAGCTCCAACCACACACCCCATATCCAGTGTAAACTCGAAGGAATAAGACCGGGAGGCATACGGATGGGAGCCACGTTTCATCAACGGAGCCGGCCCACACTCCTTCACAGGCAAACACAAGCACACTCTATTTGGGAATCAAGCGCACACAAGGCGGTGGCTGGACCGTAAACCGCTCCACACTGACTGCATGGAACCACTCTTTGATCCTAACACGGCCACAAGGACCGTGCACCCCGTCCCCTCCAGCAACAACCAACTGTCTCCTGGAGCCAGTATGGACGACGTAGTGGGTAATAGACAGGTAGGCACCTTGTCAACATGCACATCAAGCGCAGCCACACCAGGGATATCAAACAACAGCCAATCACTTGAGAGAGAGAGAAAGAAAAAGAGAAAAACTCGATTAATGCATAAGGAAACGGTGACATAAACCTTAAGTAAATAGCATACGTAATAAGTTGTTTACAAACAAATCCTAGCTAAGTGCACGAGGTCAGGAAGTATAGTTCACGGTATGCCACGAACACAAAAATGTTATGGAAATCGAATACAATTGGCTGAAGCGATGTGTGCAAGTTAATGGAATAGAGTACAGGGAGATATTTATATGAGAAAGAAAATCATTAAGGTAAAAACTGTAAACCCACCACCTGAAATAAGGAGACTTAGCATGCAAGCACGCGGTTAGTAAATCGAATTCAGCGTGCCTACAAACGCTGCGCCGGCTCGTCGTAATTCTCTGCAGGACCCATCGTCGCTTCTGTAGTGGCCCCAAATGGCACAGCGCATGGCCCACTAGACATTTCTATGAGAAAGAAAGGCATTAGGAGAGAACCGAAAACCCACCACCTGAAATAAAGAGACTTAGCATGCAAGCATGCGGTTAGTAAATCGAATTAAGCGTGCCTACAAACGCTGCGCCGGTGCTGCCTACGTTCACTGCGGGACCCGTCGGCGCTTCGGCAGTGGTCCCGAGTGACCTCTCTCATGGCTCACTAGGCCTGCCTGACTGAGGCACTCGCGACCGCATGTTCTACAGCACCATGCGCTCGATGTCGATGGAGTACAATCCATCGGTGCTTGCCGCTTCCGCAACTGCCGCTTCTTCTCTGCATGCATGAGGGCTTTCTCCCGCACTTCAGCAACTGCCTTTGTGATTAGATCGCGCCATGCACGCCGATCAACCGCCTTCGATTCCCATGATCTGCAATCAAGATTAGAACGTGTGAGGCTCACTTTAATCATGTCCTGGTAACGTAACTTTGGTTTCCCCACGTGCCGCTTCCCAGTACTCAGCTGACCGTATAAGAGTTGTTTCGGTATCCGCGTCGAATCCATACGGCTCACATGACCGAGCCATCTCAGGTGTCTCAATAAAAGTATGCAGTCCACTGCATACATCCCACTTCGGCGCAACACTTCCGTGTCTGCAACTCTGGCGCCCCAACCGATCCGCAAAATTCGTCGCAGACACTGCTGATGGAACCGCTCGAGATATCGCACATCCCGACGGTACATCGTCCACGTTTCACTGCCGTATAGAAGAACGGACAGTACCATGGATTTGTAAACCATCAGCTTCGTGCCAATGCTAAGCTGATGGTTGTTCCACACTCGGTACTCTAGCTTCCCGAATGCCGCTGCCGCCTTCGACACGCGAGTACGCAACTCAACGTGTAGCTGCTGATCAGTCGACATCACACTCCCAAGGTAGCAAAAGCGGGAGGTGGATTCCAATACTTCAGCACCAATGCTGATTTGCGGCAATATTGAAGATTGCACCTCCGGTGAAGGCTGAAAGAGACAGACAGTTTTGCTTGTGTTGATGGTGAGCCCGAATTTGGCCGCTGTCGAAGCCAGAGCATTAGTCATGTGCTGCAACTCATCCGCGCTGTGTGAAAACAACGCACAGCCGTCAGCAAACAGCAACATACGGATAGTTGTCTCACAGACTAGAGTTCTCGCACCGAAACGACGGATGTTCAGCAACCCATCATCAATACGGTGCTCCACACGAACACCGTAAGCACAAGCCGCATCAAAAGCACAAGACAACATTGCATGAAGATAGATATTAAACAGAGCAGGAGCTAAGACACAGCCTTGCTTCACACCAGAGACAACTGCAAAGTCATCCGAGGTCTCTCCACTCAGCTGCACCCTCGCTCGCATACCACTGTGTAGACATTCAATTAAACTTACAAACTTACGCGGGCAACCAAACCTACCCAACACCAGCCACAATGCCTCGCGGTTCACCGTATCAAATGCCTTGGTGAAATCAACAAAAAGCGAGTACAATGGCTGGTGTCGTTCTCTGCACTTCTCTTGCAACTGACGAGCCGCAAACACCATATCTATAGTGCTGCGACCCGAACGGAATCCACATTGCTCTTCCGCCACGTTTGGTTCCACAATCTGACTCACGAGGCGATTGAGCAGGATTCGGGCAATCACCTTGCCCACACAACTCAGCAAGTTGATGCCACGATAATTCGTGCAACATTGCTTGCTACCTTTGCTCTTGTACAGTGGTAGCACAAGGGCATCCTTCAGCTCAGCAGGCACCTCCTTCTCAATCCACACGCGTTGCACCAAGTGGTGCAGCGCAGTCAACAACGCGGGTCCACCGTGTTTCAATACTTCAGGTGGGATCCCGTCGGCTCCGGCACATTTGCCGTTTCGCAGCTGAGCAAGTGCTCTCTGCGTCTCATCCAGTCTCGGCGTATCCGCCAGATCCGCCTTCACATCGTGCTGCTTCAGGCCATTCAATGTAGGCCAGTCGATCTCTGAACGGTTGTTCAAGAGAGAGTCAAAGTGTTTCCGCCAGACCTGCATTATGTCTGCAGTCTGAGTGCAGGCAGCTTCTGAACTACCATCGATCAGTGTCCTCAGCGGCTCCAATCTCGGTCCATACACCGCCTTCAAGGAGTCAAAGAATTCCTTGTGTTGACGGCGTTCGGCGTAGCATTCCATCTGCTTCGCCTTCTCCGTCCACCATGCATTTTTAATGCGACGGAGCTCTCGGGTCAGTCGCCGTCGAAGTTTGCGAAACTGACTCTTCTTTCCCAAGTCACTGGGGTCTGCAACATGTGCAGCAAATGCTGCATTCTTCTCTGACACCAATGCGCCAATCGTCCCATTGTTGTCATCAAACCAATCAGGCCGCTTACAGTTTGCGCGCCTGATGGTCTCCTCGGCAGCAGCTGTCACCTGGTCGCGAATGTGGTACCACAGGTCGCCCACTGTGGCTATACAGTCCACATCACCACACAGGCGTGCAGCCATCGCCTTCTCCAGCTCAGTACGTTTCGCCACAGTGCCGAGGGAGAGAATGTTAAATTTACGCCGATTCACGGCGGGAGTGCAATACATAGATTTACGAAAATATATGTACAGTTTGGTCCGAACCAATTTGTGATCAGTGCCACACTCAGCTCCACGCAGTACACGTGTCATGCGCACTTCACGCATATCACGCTGACGTACGATGACATAGTCGAGCAGGTGAGCGTGACCACTCCGTGGGTGCGTCCAAGTTGCTATATCGCTCGCACTCAGTGCAAACCGAGTGTTCGTGATCGTCAGGCCGTGAGTGGCACACAGTGAGAGCAGCCTGTCACCGTTCGCATTCGCTGAACCAATGCCATGCGCACCGATAACATCTGTCCACGCTGATGCATCACGCTCAACGCGCGCGTTGAAATCACCCAGCAGAAATAGTCGGTCGCTCCTCGGCACAGACCGTATCACGGAGGATAGCTCAGTGTAGAACTGATCACGCGTGTCATCAGGATAACACATGGTCGGACCGTACGTGGTTATAAAAGTAGCAAACTTACCTCTTCCGAGTCGTAGGCGAACAGTCATCAGGCGCGCGCTGATGCCCGTTGGTTCACCCACCAGCTGGCCATTCAGGCGGTCGGATATTGCAAATCCGACCCCATGTTCACGTGGTGCTGAGGCGGCGTTGCCCACTCAATAGAATGTGTAGCCAGCACCTGCTTCATGTAACTTACCTTGCTCAGCGAGCCGAGTTTCACTGAGCGCCGCAATATCGATGTGGTAGCGCGCCAGCTCCATTGCGACCAGTGCAGTGCGTCGCTCCGGGCGCTCGCTCGAGTTCCGGTCCAGTAGTGTGCGCACGTTCCAGCACCCGATGCTGAGTGCTTTGCGTGCAGGCATACGATTGCATTGGTGGGCAATCGCACGCGAGGTGGTCGTTGTGCTTCGGAGGTTTGCTTGAGGGACTCCACCCGGAGCCTTTGGCTCAATAGCCTGACCCACAAGGCAGTGAGTGGTTTGGAGGTTTGTTTGAGGGACTCCACCCGGAGCCTTTGGCTCAATAGCCTGACCCACAAGCCAGTGGGTGGTTTGGAGGTTTGCTTGAGGGACTCCGCCCGGAGCCTTTGGCTCAATAGCCTGACCCACAAGGCAGTGGAGAGCAGATCCTGCTCGGGAATGTGATTGTAGAGACAGATTGGGATCTGCTTGACGGCCGTCACACGCAGCCTTTGAGGTTCTGGAAAAGTTATCATATGTTTTGCGACCGTAATTGGATACGCACCTGCGACCACGGCCAGACGCAGGTGGGTTTTTGGCGGGTTTGCACCAATTTGACCAGGGGCTGCCTGGCTTGAGGCGGGCAGTAGCAAACCATTGAACACCCGGAGGTGTCCTCCCACCGTCAGAGACAATGCGTGGCACTCGTGCTCTACGCCAATCGAGCATTGAGAATATCACCCGTAACCTGTTGTCTCCCATGGCTAGGTTTTACGGGAAGAGGGCCATCGACCACTTCCTAACCTCCGGAGAGGATGGACTAGGATACTGCCAGGGCGCCCAATCCTGACAGGAGAACGACTCGGGTCCTCAGCCAAAGTCTTCGATTAAATGAACACCCGAAAGGCAGCGGGTCTAGCACATGGTCAGTTAGCTGACTCATGCGGATTGGTGTCCTGGATCTTAGCAGGGAGAAGGGCAAAACCCAACTCCCACCCAGCGGTCGCCACGTGGAGGCGCCCAGGACATGAGACTATGGCGCAGCGGTAGCAGCAGTGGGTAGACCATCTGTCAGGATCTAGCCACCACCAGCCTCAGCGCACCATAGGCTCTCCCGCCCGTGAAACCTATGTACAAAGGTGGGAATAGCCAAGATCCAATGAACTACCGACCGATTAGCCTGTCATCAATCCTCTGTAAAACCATGGAAAGGATTTTGAAACAGGCCTTGCACCTTCAGCTTGAGAAATTGGACGTCATCTCTCCTGCTCAGCACGGATTCGGAGGGCACGCTCCTGCATTACCAATCTGCTTGTTGCCCGAGAAAAATGGGCGCAGTAAGTGGATGCTGGTCATCGACTTGATATAGTTTTTGTGGAATTTAACAAGGCGTTTGATAGTGTTCCACACTAGCGACTTCTTATCAAACTTCGACAGATTGGCATCGCTGGTAAATTGCTCGCCTGGATCGCGGATTCCTTAGATAACCGTAGTATGAAGGTGAGGGTTAACGAAGTCGACTCTGTTCCTGTTCTTATGACCAGTGGGGTTCCACAAGGCTCCGTACTTGGTCCCATACTATTCAAAATCTTCATCAACGATCTCCCGGAGGTGCTCCAAATAGACTGCTTGGTCTATGCCGATGATCCTAAACTTTGGTCGGAAGTATCCAGGCTTGAAGATGCTGACAGGTTGCAGCTGACGCTCGATCTGCTGCACGATTGGTCGGTCAAGTGGCAAATGCCTATCAATCGTGATAAGTGCTGTGTTCTCCCGATCGGCGATCAGGAACCTTTCGGTGCTTACCACATCGGTGGTTTTCTGTTGAAGAATGTGGTTGGTGAGAAGGACTTGAGTGTACTTATTTCTCCAGACCTAAGAACAACACAGGACACGTTGCAGAAGGTAGCATCTGCCACCAGGATGCTCTGTGCCATACGAAGGTCGTTTTACAAATTGACTCCGCAGAACTTCAGGCTTCTGTTTTCCTCCCACGTTCGTCCACTACTGGAATACGGCCTACCTGCCGTAC